CAAACACCATCTTTTTGATCATTCCCAAATGTTTGGAATCTGGGTTACGGTTGCACTGCGAAGCTGATCTCATAGACAATTCGACAAGAGTCCATCCACGCTGCGGCATTCGAAGACTTGATCATGTATCTGCACTTCGTGTGAAGGGGAAAGGATGTGGTAGTTCTTCTGACGAGAGATAGATTGACTATATTCGCAGGATTATTTATGCCCATCCTTGCACTCATTTCTCGATATACGCTTGAAAACGCCATTCAGTGCAACTAATCAGCTCACTTCGAATTTGGGCTGCTTGTCGTACTGCACTACTTGACAATTGCGGCTGCTCGTAGTCACTAAGGCTTCTTTTCGTTGCGATTGTTTTCTTTTGTGACTGTGTGGACTAAACTTGGCAGCATTAACCGCATTGGTAACTGAGTCCAACAAAGTCGAATGCTTTACTTTTTCCGACAAACATAAACATTTTTGAATAATTTGACTTAGTGGGCAACATATAACTGTCAACATGAGACGTGGCAAGCAGCTTTTGAATTTTCGTTATGTGGCTTCTTTAGAGTTTGGGAACAACAGTAATTAGCACCGCCCATGAAAAATCTTTGAAATTCTAGTGTACCCTGAAATTTTTGTAAGTAATGTATCACCCTTTTTAATGATTCAGTTTGTTGAAGCAGGAAAATGAAAGATAGCATAACTCGTAAGAGACCAGTCTTTTTTTCAGTTAATCAGTCCTTTTCTCAACGTCCTCCTTCTCGTTTGCCTCCTTCTATTGCTTTCTTTTCCTTCTTTGTTTTTTGGTCTGTTTCGCTATGGCTTTCTTTTTGATCTTATGTGAACTCTTAGACGCTTTTTTGATTCTTCATGCCTTAATTTCCTTGTTAACTCTTCCCAGTGTTCTTTGTTGCCAAGTTTCTTTTATTTGTGTGATTTTCGTACCGTGAAAGTAGGAAAAGAGATGCTGGGAACGTTCACTCATCAAGAAGAGTTTCCCATCACAGACTTCTAGTTAGTAGCATTTTCCAACTAGTTTTTTTAGTTCTTCTCCCCTTCAGAGGTCTCTTTTCACTAGCTTTTTCTGCTTCGTTATCTTTTTTCTTCTTTATCATGTCCAAAACGTCCGTTCTTCTGGTTTTCATTCTTATATAACCACCCAGAATATAAGGGGCGGAAGTGGTGTAGTGGCAAGTGGCACGCTTACCACGCGAGCGGTCCGGGGATCAAATCCTGGGTCGTGAGTCGCCCGGGCCAACCAAGCCTTCCATCCCTCCGGGGTCGGTTAATTGGTACCAGACTTGTCTGGGAGGATAAAAAAACTGACTTGTACATCGGCTGGCCCCCGCAAGTCATTGTATAGGCCACATCGCATTCAAACGCCACTACGAATGTACAAATGGAAGTAGCGTGCCGCATCCCAAAAAGGGATTGATCAACGGCAAATGCTTTATCCTTTTTATCCTTTATATAACCAGCTATCTTGCAGAACATGGGGTCCCTCATGAAAAGTTACAGCTCGTTCTTTCTCACGTGAATGATACATATTTTCTACCCGCATCTGGAAGCATCACCACTGTTTGCAACACTGAACCCTGCTTAACGGAGCGCTTTTTGCACATGGTTCCATTTACCACCGCATTACACAGTGTAACGGCATTTACGCACGCTACCTCGATGTTTCATGACGTTGCATAGTATAGTATGAGCAGTAATCATGCGTCAGATTTCTGAATGCTTTACTACAGTTTGCTGCCTTAATGTTACTGGCTTCTTTAATTGCTCACGAGTCAAATTGCAAAACAAGAGCTTGTTGTGATAGTTCACTATAACCCATATGTTCTTCGAAATCATGTGGGTTCCCAATGAGTTGTACACATTCTTGATATTTTTCTTGAGGTTGACTGAGGTTGTTTTTTTGTCATCACTGCACACTACTCAACAGATGAATAAATGTTTATGACTCTACAGTAGCCCTGGATCTGCGATAAATAAACACTGCTATGTACTAGAAGCGCCACCCATCCATTCGTGTCATCAAAAAAAGTCTCGGGCTTCTTTTTTGGTCGATCTGTATTCACATTTACTACGGAGATCCGATCATATCTCAAACATTACTTTTTCGACTGAAAACTATAAAAAAATAAATAATCCGGGGGAAATTTCATGGCAATCAATTTCGATCAAGCAGTACTAATTATATTTGTACCTTGGAGACCTACTTCATTAGTCATCTTTGATTTGAGTCATAGGTCGTTTATGGGCAATTGTATATCATTTAACTTCGCACTTCAAGAAGATAGAAGTTCTCACAGTCTCTTCTGGAGAGTTTCAAGGAATGGAGTTTTGAAGGAAACATTCAGCAGTTACGAAATGATGTCAGTGAAATCGAGAACGGTCCACCGCGATTACCCTGCTTGAACAATTTCTGCGATCGCCTGCAGTTTCTTTAGTAGAGCCCGGTGGTTTCCCTATGAATATTCAGAAATAGGTTAGTGGTTTCGTCGTACGAGCATTCTCAATTAGAGTAGCACGAATCAACGGTTCCCGTTAGTGTAATAGTAGCGGAAGGAAAAGGCTTCGTAGTTGCTGCGATTTGACTGACGTTTGCTACTCTGCGAGCTAATCGATAGGCGGCATAGTGGTGCGCCAAGCGGTTCTTGGCCCTCCCACTCCATGGCTAGTTTCGAATGCATCAGCAGAGATCCTGTTCTTAACTCACTGGTCCCTCGAACAAATACGGACTTGCGCTTTGGCCGTACATTCACTTTCTGCGTCAGCGAATCTTCTCGTTCTTTAATTGGCTTTCGACTATTCTCTTCTATAGTGATTGGCCGCAATTACTTGTTGACTGTTCTCGCTCCAAATCGCATGACGAAGATTGTCTTGGTCGTTTATTGCCCGAATTGTTCTCATATTTCTTTCCTAGGCTAGTTTATTTCCATTGTTTATTCAGCAATGCAGTTGGTCTTATTTATAGCACAGGCTAATAGAAAGAGTTGTGGACATTTAATTTCTGTACAGGCTCTTTTCTAGTCTCGAAAATTCTTTTAGATTTTGAGCGATTTCTTTTTCGATTTTATAGCTGTGAAGTTAAAGGGGAATTAGGAAATGTTCAAGCTTGGATAGTGCCTAGTGTTCCACCAACAGAACGAAATGGTTGTGTTGTAGCACCAAACTACCCTTTAGCACTTTGCGCTCGTACTAATATCACCTGATTCCCGCTAAGTGCATTTCGCATCCAGGCGAGCACTATAGGCATAGCACACTACTACTACGTGAACAGCTTGGGTAAGTACGTTTATTGTCCAATGTAACTACTACTACCTCGCTTTGCATAGCGAGACATGTCTCGTTTGTACCCTCGAGATTATAAGCATTTTGCCACTAACTACCTAACTGATAAAGGAACCTTTTCCTCCAACTACCTAACTTCTATGTAATCTACCAAGTAATTCTACATTTCTGGTGTACCAGTGGTCAACGGCAGAATGCCCGCTGGCTACGTGAACAGCTTGGGTAAGTAGGTGTATTGCCCAATGTAACAGGAATATGAAGAACTGTTCGTTTTTATTGGAGATTGTTAGTTTGGGGTACAAAGGAGGTGTGCCCATTGTTATTAAGTGAGGTCACACCTGTTGCACTCGATTGAATGCGAACTGCACTCAGTGGGAATCTAGTGGAAAGTGTGCGCGCAAAGTACTTGCGGACAATTTGTATCAGCAGTATCGTTACTATGGCGTTGG